TAATCGATCCGAAGGCATCGTGGGATAGATCACGTGACTGGAACGTCTGGTTAATTTTTTGCAGAAAATTTGCGTAGTAAGTTAATTCGCAGAAAGTTTGCGGTAAGACATGTATTTCAATAGTAATTCGATGCTGGTATTTTTTATCGCTTGCGGCTGTCTTACGTTGATGTATTAGAAACAGAGCTTTATAAAGAATGTTTGTGGTAAGAGTTTTGATATTTCAGAAATAATCTTGCGTGTGAAGTCATTCTTATGTTCGGAAAATATCCTGCGTAATGTTTATGTCTCAAGCCAAGAACCGTGCAGAAAGAAGTAAGTTTCGCAGAAAATGTGAAGAAAACCTTAATTGGTAATTAACCATGTAACAAGAGTTGCAATTGGAAAGTAATGGTAAAGAAAAACACTTGTACGCCATGGAACGTGCAGAAAGAAGCAAGTTTTCGCAAAAAATGTCAAAAGAAACTACATTAGCAATTAATCATGCCACAAGAGTTGCAATTCGAAAGTCATCTTAAAAAAAGTTTGCATTATTAATTTTGACCCTAATAACGCGCCATAGAAAATTTATGCAGCATCTTGAAACTTGTTTTGAGTCAACTTGTGGTGTTTTTTAATGTCTTTTTCCACTGGATGTACAAAATGAAATACAGCTACTATCAAGAGTCGTCTGTTATTCATGGCTCATTGAGTTTTTGGTTGAGAAATGCGTCGCTTGTCAAAGTCGGAAATCCGATTTCGGATGGCATCGTTTTCGTTTTTCACCTTGCTTGATACATAAGAGGAGTTTTTAAGTCTCAAGCGATTCTGGCCTTACTTGATAGCTTTCAGGAGCTGCATCTCTTATGGTAAGCCTGAGAAATTATTGTATCTGATGTTTCTTTTTTTATATGTAACCTCATGAAGTCGAGCACAGTTTATGCCGCAAGTTAATTTGCACGTTTGTAAGATTTGAGACAATGATCTGACCTAGTATCAGGTTTGATATAAGCTGACAGAACTTTAAAAAGCCTTTAGATATATTTTCTCACCGCGAATAGAAACAAAACGTCCCGAAGAATATTTAGTTATAAATTTGCTTGTAGAAAGAAAACTGTGAGCGATTTTCTTGCCTCGAGTTTATCTTTGAAAAAAGCAAACACCGGGAAGCCGGCTTAAAACATAAACTTAGACTCAGGATTTTTAAGGACACTTTAATACTTGTCTTCGTGAATGAAAATTGCTGTCTCTTTAACTGTTTCACCGGTTTATATTTCTTTTATTGATTGTTAGAAGTCTCTTTTGCAATTTTAATCGCCCTGTGCCGTTTGTTTTCAGTCTTTCATGAACATCGCCTGCAGGAGTACTCAAAATGTCGCGCGTATCAAACTCTTTTCAAGATTACACATCGTTATAAAGCCATTAAATAAAAAAAAAATTAACATAATAAATTCGTTATTATGTTGAAGCGTAACTCTATTAATGTTCATTCACACACTCGACCGCTTGTCAAAAGCCGAGAACCGGCTGGCCGTATAGGTGATTTTGGAAATTTTTTGAACGGTTTCGCTAAAAGCCAACGATTGATCGTCCTGAATATTGACTGAGTACAATTGTTTTGAAAAACAGTGAAATACTGCATTCTGTCCGAGGTCTGTATGATAAATACAGCGCCTCATAGTACTGTTTCACCTCAGAGATGAATAAAAAGTATAAAAGGTTGGTTTAAACACCTCCAGATTTATTGGCAAGATTTTGTTTAGTAAACTTATCGAACGCAAAAGATTCAGCCTGATTTGTTTTCCAGGCCTAATCTACTGTGATCAAGAGCCGTTATGGCTCTTGAATGTGATCGAAGATGATTGCTATTTTTTGGGTGAACATAGAAGTCAACTTGATGTGAGATGTTTCACTCTAATATCACTTAGCTTTTCCCTCAAAAGCCACATGAATGTGCCCTTAAGTTAACTGACTTGTGGATTACGAGTTTATTGTTTGATTTGAATTATATATTTATTAATGGGAGCTTCGCTCTTTAGCCCTGGCTAAATCTATATATTATAATTGCACTTCAAGGTAAATACCACTACAAGTCCACGATTTAGTGATCATTGGTGGAGACAAGAGAAGCCTTTGTGGGGGAGGGAATGATGGACCTTCACACCCGCGCTCTTTCGTCTCTTTCGTCCATCATGCTTTGCGGCAAACATGGCGGTAGAGTTCGCACATGATTTTGTACAATTAACTTTGGAGCGTTTAAATTCCTCTCAAGACGGCGATTTTAGTAGAATTTTGCTTCGAATGGAGTATTTAAATCGTATTATTATAAATTGTGGGGAATTACCTGATTCTATCCTGTTGGATTCGCCATAGCATGTTTACCGAGCAAACAAGGATCGGGTGTTAGGTCAAACCGTTCAAAATGTATCGGAGGATCAGTTCGTGTTCCTCATACACAGTGAGTTTACAAGACCAAAAATAAGTGAACTACTGGAAGTAAAAAAAGAAAGAAACAAAAAAGATGGAAATGTTGGCCGGGGTCTATGTTTGGGGTGAACTTTTTTGGTTTCTTTACACGCACTGATTTCAGTAGACTGCTTCCGTAAGTCTACCTTTTCGATCCTCAGTTGTTTGGCTATTTTTAATTGCGCCACAGAAACAAAACCTCATAAATGCTATATATTTTTTACCTTGGTAACGAAATCTCTTAATCACAGCAACAAAAAGCTAATTGGGCAATAGTCACGCGACTGATGGTGTCAGTAGTTATGCTTCAGTAAACTTAACCGGATTTATGGATTCCCTTTGGATTCTCTAGCAAAAAGTGGATTCCCTTCATTACATATGCAGGATTCCCTAGTAAAAAGTGGATTCCTCTATACTAATTAACTGCCTAGTAAGTGTCTAGTCACTGTCTTCCTGCATACTATAATTCGGTATAGGTTTACTAATAAGTGCCTCTCCACTACAATAGGCACAATAGGCTTGCCTAGACTTGCCCGTTACATAGTAACTTGAGCCCGGTTTGAACGTCTATTTAAAGGAAAATAGGAATTAAAGAAGCGATCACCAAGCAACAACGCGAGAAACGGCTTACTATATCTTA